AACATGTCTGCTTGTTCATTTTACTAGAGGAATGTGTGGAAACTGATTGCCTTAAATTTCTCAAGCAAGTTGTACTCAAAATTCTAAGTTGAAAATACAAAGACAGACAACACATTTGGCAAAACACTAGAATGTTTATTTGTTCAACAATAATAATGTTAAAACATTACTGGCCCGCCAACAACATTTTAGAAATAAAGCACAATGCACTCAAGAAAAAACAAAAAAAACTAAAGACAATAAAGACATCAATGTTTCTTTGTTTTTAACATCTTTACAATGTTTCAACAGTGGTTGAAAGCAGAGCGTTTAAGTCACAGAGTTTGGTACAGAATGCCTTTCCTACTACAGTTCTCTTTAAAATTCTCTTCTTATAAAACTCTATTCTAAAACCAAACAAGTAAACTTGAAATTCAAAACATCCTGTTAAATATGGATATTTTTATATTTTTTCATTTTCAACAATTGGAAAACACTGACGTATCTGTAAAACAGTACTGAACAATTTTCTTTAGAGTTCTCTTAAAGGAACACTCCACCGTTTTTTCATATTAAACTATGTTATTCCCTTAACTAAGACGAGTTGATACATAGGCCTACCTCTCTCGTCTCAGTGCGTGCACTCAATCGCTCTGGCGCGTCGCGACACTTTGATAGCACTTAGCTTAGCCCAGTTCATTCATTAGGACTCAAACAGAGAAGCGACCAAACACCTCCACGTTTTCCCTATTTAAATACAGTTACACGAGTAGTTACACGACCGAGAATGGTGTAAGATGATTACACCAGTGTAAAATGGATAACTATAATGTATGGCTGAATAGCACTTGAGAGCACTTCGACTCGGTGCAGTAATATCATCACTCCTAAAAAATCCTCTCATCATCAGGAGTGATGATATTACTGCGCCAAGTCGAAGTGCTCTCAAGTGCTATTCCGCCATACATTATAGTTATCCATTTTACACGCTTAGAAAAGCGCCACGTTTTATTTTGTGTCACCATACTTGGTCGAGTTACACTACTCGTGTAACTGTATTTAAATAGGGAAAACGTGGAGGTGTTTGGTCGCTTTTCTGTTTGGATCCTAATGAATTAACTGGGCTAAGCTAAGTGCTAACAAAGTGTCTAGCGCGCCAGAGCGATTGAGTGCACACACTGAGACGAGAGAGGTATGTATCAACTCGTCTTAGTTAAGGGAATAACATAGTTTAATATGATAAAAAAAGGTGGAGTGTTCCTTTAAAGACAGCTCTATTCACTCAAAGCATCATGGCTATGATCTATTACTGCATCAGGCGATTTTTCAGTGATTGGATTTTAGGTTTGAGTGACTTGTGGCCAAGGGACAAAATCACTCTCTGTATGAAGTCGAATGTGCTCTTCAGTGCTGCAGGTTTCGAGCATAAATTAGTCCAAAGAGCAAACACATTGCTTGTGGAAGATTTTCAAGATCATCCACAACCACTGTACCTTCCAGAACGATTGCTGTTGTTGACGCATCAAGATGCAGGGAGTAGGGTACGGCAGCGGTTGCAGACGACTCGGGAATCACTGTCAGAATACCTATTTCAATGTTGGACATATCTTCATTGTCATCAGTCCTAAAAATGGGAATAGCATAAACAAAAATGAGGTCAAAGAAAGCCACAAAACATATTTTAAAGGAACACTCCCACCGTTTTTTCATATTAAACTATGTTATTCCCTTTACTAAGACGAGTTGATACATACCTCTCTCATCTCAGTGCGTGCATTCAATCGCTCTGACGCGCGGAGACACTTTGTTAGCATTTAGCTTAGCCCAGTTCATTCATTAGGATCCAAACAGAGATGAAGTTAGAAGCGACCAAACACCTCCACGTTTTCCCTATTTAAATACAGTTACACGACCAAGTAAGGTGACACAAAATAAAACGTGGCGCTTTTCTAAGCGGGTAAAATGGATAACTATAATGTATGGCGGAATAGTACTTGGACTCTGTGCAGTAATATCATCACTCCTGAAAAATGATATTACTGCGCTGAGTTGAAGTGCTCTCAAGTGCTATTCCGCCATACATTAGTTATCCATTTTACCCGCTTAGAAAAGAACCACGTTTTATTTTGTGTCATCATACTTGGTCGTGTAACTACTCGTCTAACTGTATTTAAATAGGGAAAACGTGGAGGTTTTTGGTCGCTTCTAACTTCATCTCTGTTTGAATCCTAATGAATGAACTGGGCTAAGCTAAGTGCTAACAAAGTGTCTGCGCGCGCCAGAGCGATTGAGTGCATGCACTGAGACGAGAGAGGAATGTATCAACTCGTCTTAGTAAAGGGAATAACAGTTTAATATGGAAAAACGGTGAAGTGTTGCTTTAAAGGGATAGTTCACCTAAAAATGAAAATCTTGTCATAATTTACTCACCCTCAAGTTGTTCTAAACCTGCATGAGTTTTTTTTCATCTGTTGAATTGAAAAGAAGATATTTTGATGAATGTTGTTAACCAGACAGTTGAGAGTAGCCATTGACTTCCATAGTTAGAAAAAATACTATGGAAGTCAATGGGTAAACTAAACTGTTTCATTACCGACATTCTTCGAAACATATTATTTTGTGTTCAACAGAAGAAAGAAACTCATACAGGTTTGGAACAACATAAGGGTGAGTAAATTACAGAATTTTTATTTTTGGGTGAACTATCCCTTTAAGAGCACATACTCATTAAAATGTGAAACAAACAAATAAATAAAACTTATCTTTCACTTTCTTTTCTCTAACCCTTACTTTGTTTCAATGTCCTGACTGTTTTTCTTGCCTTCATAACTCTTCTTGCCAGATATCAACTGTTTGAAGAACAGTTTGCCTGTTAAATAAGAATCACATCAGAGAAAAAAATACTTACAAAACATGTCTTGTAAAAATCGGTGGGGTCCTCTCCGAGAAGGAGTGGTAGGCCATGAAGAACGGGTGTTTGTTCCGCATTGATGTTGGATTTCTGCAAAGTTATAAAAATGTATATTGAATAGCGCTCGACACTAGCACAACACAGAGCAAAAAAACAACAGCAAAAGCAACATTTGTTTTGCTATCGAAACATAATTGCGATGAGCTTACGTCATTTTAATCTGCTGCAGCCAATGTCTCCACATTAAGTCTTGAAGTTATTGGTGAAACGTTGAGTGAATCTGTCACAAAATAAAAAGACAAAATAAGCTAATACCTGCTTGTTAGTTACACTATTTTAATTAATGCATCGTGTTGTTAATTTCCATGTGAACGACACGTGAGCATCGAACTTTCTAGACAGAATGAAAGTAACGTTAGGCCGCACAGCCAGGATTTACATATTATTATTGATAATCCCCGAACTTATAAACGATTAACACAGCTTACAAACTGTACATAAAACAGTGTTCAGTAAAAATCGATTTTTGCAACCTAACGTTAGCTAGTAAGCCACTTGTCTCAACTGGTCTCATTCGACATAAAACTAACGTAACTTCAGTGTGCCTTTTCCTCTTACTGCACAATGAGCTAAATAAATTCTGTTTTTAAGCAATACAATGACATTAAAGTTGATAAATAGTTGTTCAAGAGGCTAGCATACCTAGTTTTGCTGCCGCATCCCGATCCCGAACACGAGATGAAGTTCTTCGTCGATGTCGTCTTCTTCAAGTTCAACCGTCCAATTGGGCAAATGCGCATGCGCGAGATGAAAAAAACCCCGAGTTGTTTCGTCTCATGCTGAAACTTCATAACCAATGACCAGTAAATATATAAAGCTCTGTAATACAAATAAGTACTGTGAAGCAGTAGCAGCCGATGGCTTATTAATAAATAAATACACACGCACGTGTGTGTGTGTGCGCGCGTATGTATATATATATATAGCTATAGCTATCATCAAACCGTTTCTAATTGTATGGTATTTACTAAAAATGTTATTAATTTCATTATTATTATTATTATTATATGCAAATTCTGTGCTCCAGATATTTGCAACAGTGTGAACATGCCTTTAGTACAATACACTTACCAATCTTAAGAACAATGTACTAGATTTGTTTAGTTTCACCTAAAAGTTCACAGTACACAGTGTAATCAAGTTAAATCAACTGAGTTTTCAAAGTAAGTTAAATTCACTAGTTTTTCTTAAGTAGAATCAACAATTACTTTTTACAGTGTAGCTCTTTGTGACTAAAATGGGAATATGTGTTTAGCTGGCTCTAAGTGGAGGTTTGTAATTGCATTTCATACAATGAGACGAGAAATTATAAAAGCGAAAAAAAAAAAGATCATGTGAATGAGGTGAGGAATAAAAAAAAAAGTCAAATCGCGGGATGATGGAACTTCCGATATTCATAAATATTCAGCTTCATCTCTTTCCAGGTTTGGCTTTATTCAAGGTTTTTACAGTGTGACGCCAAAAAAGGTATTTTTCACCCTTACGCAATGCTGCGTAACTAGGTTAAGCCAGCTTATGCATGGTGAATAGGTGTATCTAACTGATGCCCTCCCATGGACACTCAGGGGACTGGAGACTGCAGAGGATGCTATAAGAATGCTGCACATATTCTCTGCTTCCTCTCCTCCAGGTATGTGGGTGACCTGACAGAGTCTTTCGCAAATTGACTGTGTCAATATCATGCAATCTCTGACAAATTTCACACTGTTATTTTCTAGTTTCCAGCATACAAGGTCTCGTTTGAAACACTTTGTTCTATTGAATCTATTTTGAAGCATATTATAAGCATGTGGATAAACTGCTGTGTGTGTGTGTGTGTGTGTGTGTGTGTGTGTGTGTGTGTGTGTGTGTGTGTGTGTGTGTGTGTGTGTGTGTGTGTGTGTGTGTGTGTGTGTGTGTGTGTGTGTGTGTGTGTGTGTGTGTGTGTGTGTGTGTGTGTGTGTGTGTGTGTGTGTGTGTGTGCGTGTGTGCGTGCGTGTGTGTGTATGCTGCAGAGGCCAAAATCTGCATGTCTGCAACTCAAAATGGTACAGTTTGCAGAACTTGGCTTAGTTTAGCACCCTTTATTGAATTCATAGGTTATTTTTTCAAGGAAGGCTAAACCAGAGGCATAATCATTATACACTGATTTAACATGATGTCTTACAATAATAATTGCAACACTGAAATCTAAGAATAAATATATGCACATATCTGTCTTTGCCTATGTGAGATAGACCATGGAAAGGTACGTCCATAGACATGATCAATAGTTCCCAATCTTTTACATGTTTTGACCTTAGCTTGGTCCATAAAACCATTCAATAAGTCCAGATAAAGACAATCTACTCAATTTGAAAATACAGATTCAACAAAGCACTTAACAGTTATACAATAACTGCAGTATCTCTATTGCTGATAGACAATTTTTAGTTAAATAAAAAATATCTCCGAAGTTTTTGATGCAAACGAGTAAAAGCCAAGACCGCACGCCCTGCATTCATACGAATAATTTGCTTCACGTTTACCAACATTGCAAAGTCTGGAAACAGCAGTTGATCCTTTTCCTTCTAATGTAAATCTATGTATTTTAGATAAATAAAACTGTGATACAAAAATACTCATTTACAACATTGCTGGCTGCTCTTATGAAGGCACTTTAAAAAATCTGAACAAGGGATTTCCTCCAGAGCAACTTGAGGGAAAACCATACCATCTTACATCGCATGAATTCTTTTTCCATCTTACCATTTTCATTTTGAATGTGCAGTCTTATATCTGACATGTCTTAGAATTGATATGACCTATCCAGCATATCAATGTAATCCATCTTTGTTTTGAGTCTAGCCCTCAGCTCAGGGTAATCACTTTGGGTTTGATTAGGACATCCTGTCCTTGTCCCTGTGGTTGTGATCGTTTGCTTTTGTCTGGCATCCTGTTTGGCATGTGGATACTCTGAGGGAGGATGCGTACACGCGTACTGTCTGTCAGGCAGGTTGCTAAACTGGGGAGTTGTGCCAAAAAGACTGTCCACTAATCCCACCTTGGGCGTGGGACCTTGGCTATCAATGACAGTCGGACAGAGTATTCCGTTTTCATGAAAGCCGGCAATGTCACCACACAGCGGGCCGACGCTGCCAATAGTGTTAATGGGGGAGCTGGAGATGGCCATGGTCCACTCCTTTTCCTTCTCCACCAGCGTTCTGTAGTGTGAACCACTCTCTTTTGTCTCTGAGAATGGATGCTTCTGCCCTGACTCCTCCTGTCCGCTTTTGTAAACGGGGTTGCTGCACATGTGCGAAGAGGGAGCACCGATGCTATCGTACACGTGATTGGAAGGAGGAGTTTCTGGTAAGGTTGGTGGCTGTTCTGTGAATATCCCACATTCCATCTGAATGCCTGCCAGGCCCACTTCCCCTTGCTTCCTAAAGGGAAGCTTTTCACGCTTTTTGAGAGCATATGCGCAAAGAGCTGCAGCAGCAAAGAAGGCAGACACGAACAGAACCAGCAGGCTGAGAATGAGAACAGAGAGGGGTATGGCACCTTTCGGCGGGTGCGGCCCCACCTCGGGATACGTAGTGATAAGCCCACTATCTGATTCGGCAGGAGACAGTGAGGACTGTCGGAGCTCAGGGCAAATCACTTCAGAATTCAGAGAGCGTAAATCTTTTCCTGAGACCAGCTCGGGGGTCTTACACACCACTTCTCCGACTATGACCACTAAGCTCAGCGTGTCCAGCCACTCTTTGAGAGGGATGATGTCACAGGAGCAGTCCCAGGGGTTCTGATTTAGGTCGATCTGGACTACAGCATGCAGGTGTTCTAGAACGCCGCTGACTGGGAGGCAATGAAAGTAGTTGTTCCGCAGGTTCAGGCGTGTCAGCGAGCTACCTGCAAACGTTCCCACGGGCAATGTTCGCAAGAGGTTGTTGTTGAGAAAGACAAGCTGCAGGGAGGGCATTAAACTGAAGGCAGCCGGCTGGATTTCTCGTATCTCATTGTACTCAAAATACAAATACTCAAGGCTGTGCAAACCATGGAACATATCAAGAGTTAACTTAACAATACTATTACCGTTCAGGTAAAGGCTTCTCAAATTAGGGAGATTAACAAAAGCCCCCTCTTGAACGTAAAATATCTGATTGTTTCCCAAGTGCAATAAATCAAGACTGGAGAAATTCCAAAAATCAGACTTGTATATTCTCTGAATGAGATTTCCACTTAAGTAAAGCTTCTTGGCGTTCAAGGGTCGAGGCATCAACTCAGAAATGTTCCGAAAACCATTCTCCTTACAGTTGACTGTCAAACCAAGGTCATTAATATGCAAGTTACAGGTACATCCAATGGGGCAAATGATAGGTATAGGCGGCCGTGTCTGGTATCCGGCTACAGGCGGCTGATTAGGGAACACACTGCGTGGTGTTGGTGGTGTCTTTGAGGGCCTGGGTCTTTTTGTTGGCTTTGGAGGTCTTTCTCTTTGTTCCACAGAGGAGACAGTGTTTTGATTAGGGGAGACTATAGATGATGGCTTTGTAGGCCTCGCTCTCCCTGTGTAGAATGGTAAGTGTAGGACGGCTAGAATTGACTCAATCTCGCCATCATTTAATAAGGGACAAAGCTCACCGCGTTTGATCTCTCTGAGGTCCTTTCCGTGGAGGTGGAAAGGGTACTCGCACGTGATCTCGCCAACAACTGCAGTGTACGGAATCCGCTCCAACCAGGCCTTGAGCTGGATGATATCGCAGACACAGTTCCAAGGGTTCTCCTCCAACTGGATCTCCATAAGACTGCGACCGATATATTCCAAAATCCCTTTATAAGCCAACGTCTTTAGTCGGTTGCCTCTCAAGTCAAGGTGCGTCAGAGAGACAGATCTGAAAAGAAACGCCGGCAGCATGGGTATTAAATTGTCATTAAGGATGAGCACTCTGAGTTTGTGGAGATTTCGGAACGCCCCACTGTCTATTCTCTTGATGACATTATAGTCTGCCTGAAGGTATTCTAAACTCTCCAGTCCGAGAAATGTGTCGTTCCGGAACACTTCCAGCTTGTTTTCGTGAAGGTACAACCTCTTCAGGGAGCTCAAACCATTGAAAGCCCCAACATGGATGTCCTGCAGGGCATTATTGCCCAGATTAATGGCCACTGCATTGTTCAAGTGCAAAAAACTGTTGAAGTAGAGCTTCCGTAACGAGTTTTTCTGCACGTAGAGCTTGAATGGTCTAAGCCATGACTGTGAGACTTGGCTAATATTTGTAAATCCTTTGCTGTCACAATGAACGTGAAACAGGCCTTCCTTCACTTCGCAGTAGCAGGGCTCAAAGCAAGGTTCGTCTATTTCTTCTGAATCATCAAGTAGAGGGATAGGTGTCGTCCATCCAAGTGCAATTGTGCTTAGCAGTGTAACCCACAACATGCTTTCACCAAATGCAGGCAAGTGCATAGCCTCAAGAGCTCCTTCACTGCACTGAAAAAAATACAACAGTTTTAGTGGCGTGAATACAGAGAGGATGATGAACAACTGCTCAATTCCAATGATGTTGACTTTTGACAAGTTAGTTGTGATAATACTGAAGAATAGGGGAGGCTATCATCTATACTGTATGACGGAGCATAATGCAGCTTAGCAGCTTTGACTGCAGCTTTTTACTGCAAACAATATAGTCGAAATAAAAAATAAAGGCTTCAATTACCAATGTCAGCAAATGCACCAGAGCTTAATACTGACTTAAAAGTATGCCTGCTGCATTTACTAAAGTGATATTGAGAAGATGCAAAATGTGACATAATCCATTTAAAGGCATAATGCTTCTCTAGAGGTTTCGATTTAGTTTCTAAATCAGCTAATGACTCTGGAATATCAATTTGACCTCCATGGAAAATATTTCTTTCTCCCCTCCTCCATGAGCACCTATTAGCTAATGTGCAAAGCAGGGCACTTAGGAATGTGATGTTAATAAGACCTAGGTTCTATTGATTGCTGAAGGGGTATGTGCATACAGGTCATTGAAATAATGTAGCTCCCTCAGGCTGCCACTAATGCATGCAAAGCATATTATTGCAAGCAAAATCTTTAGGGTAACAGACACGAACAGTTTTTCTTGCAGTTACAGTACTTTGAGGTAAAGTATGAGTATGATAAGAAAAAGTATGATAAGAAAAATGATATTCTTATTTGGCAAATCCATGTAAACCCAACAAGATAAATTAAAAAAATTAAGACAAAGTTAAACTGAAATCCAGCCCATACAATCACATTGCTCTCGACAGAGCAGACCCAAAGATCAGATCCAGCTTTGAACTGAGTATGCAATACAGACATAAGGAAACCATTCAAGCACTGCATGAAAAAGCTGAACTTATGGAAGCTAAACACAATGTATAGTCCATTAGCTTAACAAGAGTGATTCATGCCATTATATTAGGCTGTCAGATATATAATTAACACATAATGATAATCCAGTGCGCTAAAATGCAATCTATTAGCATTCCCCTTTGTCTGGCTTTACCACCGCCCGCGTCCGGATCCATATCAGAGGCATTAACTGAGCAGAAATGTGCGCTACTCACTCAGGTTGCTGCAGTGGAATTAAAAGAGCAGAAGATTGAGCACTTTAAATAATGCTGCTTCTTGCCATGTCACCACCGTTGAGCCGCTTCTTCTTCTTCTCTCCGCTCTCTTGGTGGAAGCAAATAGGAGAGCCGAAGACGTGACAGGACTGCAATGTCTCAGAAAGGTTTGCTTTAGGATGCAGGTCCGCTCCCCTGACGAGCGCTCAACAGTGAAGACAGCGAAGGCTGCAGTTCAGCACCACTGTGAGGACTGATGATGAGCGAGATCTTAGTACATTTCGGTTGGAAACAGTTACAAAAACTAACCCGGTTCAAGTTGGCATGGAAATAAAATCACAGGATGGCGCTGCCTCGGACTTCGGTCTCCAAGTAAAATATATTGCATCGAGCGCGCGCGCCCGCCCGCCTGCAGCCCTGCTATGAAACGCTCCAAAATATGCGCGAGATGATGAGAATAATATGAACGCAGCAGTCGGCGCGCGACACACCGTTTCAGATTTAACTTGGCTTTTTAACGCGATTTAATGTGTTACGCTCGCTCTCCTCTCATGAGACATATTTGTGAGATTTGCATTAATTTACGAGAGAAAGTAGTTGAGTTTGTTTGTACCCAGAATACGTAACGCTGGCGACGGGTTTTGTAAGCCACTTTACTCGTATTATTAAATAATACTGCAACTATTCCCAGAGCGATATGGCTTCTTGTGTTACTTATTCATCATCCTTCATGATATAGGCCCCTAACAATTTAATGAAACCTTAATTTGGTTACCATGGAAACATAGTGCCATCTGCTACTGCACAACAATGTGGTGCTTCATACATGGGCATGTTGCTTATTTTGGAACTGAGAATGAACAATGTTGACTTGATGCCCACTTTTGCTTATTTCTCATATGGCTGATTAATTATCTTATAAATCACCAGTTAATTACTTCATAATGAGTTTGTCATTTGACAGTGATATGCATGGATAAATAAATGCTTAATAAATAGCCTGCGATCTATGTATTAAAACCAAAGCAAACTAATTTCTCATATATCCAGAGTAATATTCTGAACACATAGGCATATCGACTTTAGTTTTCCCTTTATTGTGAATTTCCCACAGGTAACAGAGAATCTAAGCTAAAGCTAGTTAATACTCTGTCTCAGCAGCTCTCCGTGCCTTTGAGCATTAAAGCATTTTCCTGAAGATCCTTAAAAAAAAAAAATCTTTAATGCCATCACACAGATCAGGGCTGCAGATCATCTGAACATGTTCCAGTGAATTAGCTTGCGACAGCAGATTCCCTTTTCTTCAAAAGCCTGTTAAAGGTGATTAAAGCAGAGTTTCTCCATCATATTGCTGCAAGATTATTGACCAGAGACCTTAGAAGAGAAACAAATAATACAAACAAAAAAAAATGATTAGGAATTGTGGGGTTGAAATTATGATCGCTATTACAGGTATAGGTGTAGGGCACATGATGAGGTGATTGACAGGATAGTAATGGGGTCCAGAAACCCCAAACGTCTGAACGCATATTTCAACCCCCTTCAAAGAAAACAATTCAATCTCCATTCCATAATATTATAATAGCCAAGTCATGCTTTCCACTGATCAATTTAAGCAAGTAATTGTATGTAATTAATATAATTACAAAAGATTAGCTTTGTTTGAAGAATGATTGTATTAAGGATTTACATGATTTTAACAACCTTAGACTAATTAACAAATCATTTAAAGCACTCTCGTTCAATTATAAATCCCTCTCACATGAAACCAACAAAGACTGTTTGACAAAACCAACTGTCTCAATTTGCCACTGAAGAGACACAATTAGAGGTGTAATTTTTCCAGAAGAAAAATAAATCACGAGATGTAATCTGGTGGTCAGGCCATTTGACGCTCATTTAGCCTGGAGCTGGTCATTAATTATCCAGCTTTAGAAACAGAAGATGAAGGGTGTAGCTGACGCTGAGGTGCAGGAGAGGGAGCTATCTGGATCCACAGGTGCTTTAACCATTTAGTGAGGTGCTCCTCATGGATAGCACAGAGCAATGACCCCTCTCCTCACACCTCCACCAAGGACGCCCGGCCTTGAGGAATAACCAGTGTTAGGCTAATTAAACTACCCTCCCATTTTAATTAGGATATAAATCAGTTGCCATGGGAACCTGTCCCTTGGAGTCCCCATGTAAACTCATGATGGAAGTGCTGTGGATGAAGGGTGCTATTTTAGAAGCCATGCAGGAGAATGGCAGTGTCCGTACAGACAGGTGTACTAACATATAAATGATAAAAAATATGCATTTTAATTGTTTTGTTGTTTTTTAGATTACAATATAAACAGCTGTTTGTTATCATATAAAAATGAATATTTTATATCGCATACTAAAATTTACAAAACAATCAGCCTATAGCAACAAGATGAACACTGCAGCAAAATTACAGTATATTAATACTGAAGTGCCATCAGTTATGAGATATACAGCGTTGCCATGGACGACGGCGAATAGGAAAAATCTGACCACTGAATGCCTTGGTTGACCAATTAGAATCTTTTGTTAAATCTTTTCATATAAGACCATTCAGGACCATAGGTTGCTATAAGTATAGGGGGCACAATAGCTTGAATCATATCATTATGTGTATGTTTGTCCCTTTAAAATCAGCATTAAGTTCTAAAGCACTTATGTAGCCATATAGATCATATTTTAAAATCAACAGTGATGACAAATTGTCAGAAACTGTTCCACTTTACCTGTATTGACCCTAAACGTTCACTGTAAAAAATAAAATGCAATTTTTACGGTAAAATACCGGCAGCTGTGGTTGCCAGAACTTTACCATCAAAAATATGGTACAGACGTTATTGGTTTTACAGACTTAACTTAAAATTTACAGTAATAAACCGTATTTCATTATCTGATATAATGTTAATTTACCAACCTATTTATGTATTAATATTTGTTTTGTACCATTGTATTACACTGACAAACAACAAACATCACAGCAGTGATATAAGTCACATGATAAATCAAAGCTCATCACAAGCAGCTCTTCCACAAGAAAGTTAACACTAATATAAAGAAGCTGCACAGTGTCATTCGCACAAACACTAAACAGCATCATGGTAACACATGAAATTTAAAAAATGCAATAAACATTAATTTAACAACATTAAATGTAACATAAAACTCTAATGTACATAACTGATAAGAAAAGAACTAAGGAAACTAAGAAGAAACAGTTATTTCAACAAAAATACATAAAATGTGAAGTGTCACGCAGGGAATTGTGGGAATGTCAATTTACGGTTTTTCACTGTAAATTATACAATGAGTTGTTCTTTTTCACTTTCAAAAACTGTAAATTTAACGGTATTTACAGTAAAATTACATTAAATGTACCGTTAGATCTATCACAGTTATTTACCGTATATAGTAAGGAAACTTTCCGTTAACCAATTAACAGTTTTTCACTGTAGCATTTTTACAGTCTTTTACCGTTAAAATCACGATCATTTTTTACAGTGTTGCACTTTATTATTATTATTATTATTATTATTGTGTTATATTATTCATTTTGAACGGGCTTATTTATTTTGCTATACATGTTTCCACAAGGACTTAAGGGATAGTTCACCCAAAAATGAAAATTCTGTCATCACATACTCACCCTCAAATTGTTCCAAGCCTGTATGAACTTCTTTCTTCTGTTGAACACAAAATAAGATATTTTAAAGAATGTTGGTAATCAAACAGTTGAGGTGGCCATTGACTTCCATAGTAGGAAAAAAAACACTATGGAAGTCAATGGGTGCCGTCAACTGTCAAGTAACCAACATTCTTTAAAATATCTTATTTTGTGTTCAACAGAAGAAATAAATTCATACAGGTTTGGAAAGACATGAGGGTGAGTAACGGATGACAGAATTTTCATTTTTTGGTGAACTATCCCTTTAAATTTCAGTGTCTGATTTGTTTGTCGGTTTTGAGTGTTGTTCTGGCCTACAGCATTTCCTTGTCAAAATCTTGTTAAAAAATGTTAACACACCAGACCCAAAATCAAAATGTTGCGACACAGCATTTCACAAAACAGGATGAGTGCTCCAAGGGAAATCACCTCTTATCATGTGAAGCATCATACTTGAAATGCTAAAAGATTACATCAAAGCAGCGATAATAAATGAAGCAGAAAATATGCCATGACGAGAGCTCCCCCTACTGACGGAGAGAGTGCAGTCATCCACTACTAAACAATGCAAACGCGTTCACGGGCATGTAATACCCACACAGGATTATACAGGGAGGGAATCCTATGATTATCTCCATTCGGAGAGCCTTCGAATCGTAAAATATAGAAACAATTAACCAGAATGAAATGACTAAGAACAGATTACCTGTTCTAAACATCAGCAAATAAGAACCTTTCCAGAAAAAAACTCAATTTTCTTTCACTCTCAGCAGGGTCTAACTCATTAAACACAACACATAAGGCTCAAGCACAAACCAGCAGGTCTAATCCACAATAGCAGCATTTATGTGATATGCAACAAAAACACTGCAATGTGCATAACCTACTCTTAACATGTGATAGTCTTTATAATGACAGTACATCTTACCAGCATACACTTCCACATCTGGTTGTCATGGATGCAGCATATAAGCCTCTTTTCACAGGGTACCTGTAGGTAATTAAATGGGAAAGGAATGGAGGTTCAAAAGAACACTTAAGCTGTGCCTGTGCTGTGCACTTTTATTAGTTTACTGAACATTCAATATAGGTCAGCAATCTGATATAGGCTATTGAAACCAATTCAAATAGGCCTAAATAGGCCTTTTCTCTTCACAAGATTTTCTTACTATTATTAGGCCTACATGCCAGGCTTTACTGGTTTAATAGAGGCTTGACAAAATATGTTTTTATAGTCAAGACAATAGACATATCATTATTACAGTTCTTATAAAGGTCATTGTGAAGTAATGTGTTTTGGGATAGTTCACGCATAACATGTCCATGAACTTTTCTTATAACAAAAAAGAGTATTAAGCTTAACGTGTAGACCTATATAAATTCATAAGGGAGGGTGTGTAACGTTAGGCCCCTATGTCATTAAAGCATTTTCAGTTATACTTAGTATTCTTACCAATTATGTAGGCTACATCCTTTTCTTCAATGTAATTTATTTTGGATCACCATCCATCCATCCATCCATCCAAACACCCACAAAACCATCTATCTAAAAGTAAAGTAAAACGTTTGTAATTTTAAATAAGTCCAAAATCACTGTGCATGTATAGACGCATACAATCACAAATAAAAATATTATTTGGGTATGGGGCGATTGGATCATGTTCTCTGGCGTTTACTTATATAAAAAAGGAACAAGAATAGACATCGTGTCATTACAAAAGTTTCGTAATCGATGGTGGAAATCCAAATGTAAGTATCCACATTACCCATAGACAACAACAGAATGCTGACACGGATGAAACAGATGTTTTCACCCTGGCAATAACTTTGGCCAATCACAGACTCGCGTTTTACTACGTCAATGATCTTTGACGAATCAGAACTCTTCTTGTTGCATAGACGCAACCTACCGGTGACAGGCCCTGTGCTGTAATGTTCGGCTGACCCATCATCAGGACAGCAGGTATGAGACGGCGATGAAACTTGACTAACTTTGTGAAATATTGCCAGGAACTGAATTCACTTGGTCATATCATATTTTAGATAAATTAGCTGAATCCGTTTATTAAACATAGCTAGTGAATATCTGTGTCTTTGCGTCATATTTTATTGTGTCTGTATAGCGGATTAGCTTCATTGTAGCACAGTAGTGATGATCATTGTAAAAAAAAGATGTCTCCGAAGTTGAAGTATTCACTCGTGAAAGCCAGACCCGACTGTATAATTTAAG